TTGATGTTTGGGTTGGTAATGTGCGAGGGACACGTTGGTGTCATGGCCATGTATCTTTATCAGAGAAAGATAAGGTACTCCTTATGCTTTGAATACATTTTTCTAGTAAGTTATTCTTAACATTTCAAACATCAGATGACGGTTCCAACAAACAAAAAAGAAGATGGGTTTATGTTTAAAGTGCTCAAATCTTTGGCCTTGTCTACTACAAGTTTAAGTTATCTCTGTGTTTCTTAATGAATAATGATAATATATAAAGTAAACCCGCACATGACCATTCATAGGCATCCATTCCTCGTTTCCTGATGATGATATATCAAGCATATTTGCAAATGACCATTCATTGACATCCATAACATTCATTCTTTTCACAACTATTTTTAAGTTATTTTTGAAATGAAAACATGAAAAACTCATAAACGTTCAGTTTATTTGGACATGCATTAACAATTGGCATAGTTAAACTCGAGAGGAGAGAAAGCTGAGTAAATCTGTGCCAGAGCATGTGCAGCAATAATGTTTGATGAATTTGTTTACTCTCAAAGCTTGCAAGACAGTTACCTGGTTTGTCTAAGACACTTCGATCATTTAGTTGGAAAACTTCGTTCATATGATGCATGAAACTTTCTTTTTATATGAAGAAATATTTTTATGCATTTCATGTTGGCCAGTGATCTGATTTTCCATTAGTGCCTGCCTCTCTGTTTCAGGAATTCTGGGAATGGAGTTGGCAGGAATATGCTCTTTACGATCTGCAAGAAATGATTCGTTATGTATATACAGTTACAAACTTGAGAGTGTTTGTCATTGGATATTCTCAGGTCTCCAATCTTATGATAGCTTGAGTTTTGATTTATTGCTTACAGGATGATATGAAGGTTTGTGATATATCTTCTTCTTTTGTACTTTATAGGGAACAATCATTTCTCTGGCTGCCTTTACTGAACCGGATATAGTACAAATGGTTGGAGCAGCTGCGCTTCTTTGTCCTATAACGTATTTGAATCATATAACTGCTCGATTGCCTCTTAGATTAGTTAAAATGCATCTTGCTCAGGTTTGTTTGGTGCCCTTATGGCTTTCACGATGGAAACGTTTCCAGTCTTACTGAAAAACAGTTATTTTATTACAGGTTTTTCTTGCAATGGGCATTCATGAACTCAATTTCAAAAGGTCTTTTACTATCTATTCTTGTTACCTGTTCCTTAGTAATAGTCTACGTTTCTAATTATAATTATATTAGCTTCTGACTTTCTCTGATGATTTATTCAGTGACTGGGGTACTCGCATCATGGATATGATGTGCAACGGACATGTAGATTGTGGTGACTTGCTAACTCCTATTACAGGTCTTCTAACCATAACTACTTGTTTCTTTATTTATATTACACCTTGTTGAATGACCTTGTCTGAAAGCTTAATTTGTAGAAATGGCACACATGTATACATGTAAATTTAGTCTTCGACTCACTCTTTCACATATAGGACGAATTGCATTATGTTAAAAAGCCAGGACATGCACAATTTTCATAAATGGGTGTGGCAAGACTTGAACCCAAGATCTTTGTTAGTGATGATGCCATTTTGAACCACCTTGTTTAAAATCTTAAGCCACTAGAGAGGACAAAATTTATGTATTTAAATTGTCTTCAATACATTTTTTGGAGAAAACGTGTACATTAAAACATTAAACGTTGCTCAATCTCTTCACTCAACAAATAATTACACTTCCTGCCAAAAAGCTATCTTGGCATGCATTTGTTGCCAATAACAAAAGCTTAGTCGCTTTGGCGACGCTCATTGTTTTGTGAGAAAGTTTCAGGTGGAATAAAACAAAATGAAAGGAAGGGAGTTATTTTGTTGTATGATACGCTAATGCATGACCCCAAAAATATCGGATTTTGTAGCCACCCAATTAGTCGGCCTTTTTGGGACTGTTCTTCAGAAAATATAACTTAAAAGCATAGGTTATAAATGTGTACAAATGTTTTTAGTAGTATGCTGAAAGGTGGCTCCACATGTTGGAAAATAGAAAACAAGCTTATTTGTCTTATGAGAAAACATCTTGGTACTGTATCAGTTTCTTGTTCTGAGCTTATCGTTTGTTGTCGAGGTAGACTTTGACCAGTGAAAATATTGTTTATTAGTGGTTTAACGTTTAACACAGTATGCTATAAAAATAAGACCAGTCTTAACTGCTTTTGCTCTGTGTCAGGGGTTCTATTTTAACAAATATATCTAGTTAAACCTTGCTCTATAATCTTGTTGCATCGATTAAAACAACATTGTCAGCACATAGCTTGCACAAAGGAACCTTACTTTGAACATAAATAGTAGCGTTTCGTTCAAGAAATAACATTGTTGTAGAAAATGCAATTTTATCAACTGACATCTTTGTGTTATTGTGATGGATGTTGCTCCAAAACCGACTGCGTCTTGAAAATAATGTGGTGATATTTGCTTCAAAAGCCTTTTTTAAGCTTACCGAATCAGTTATTACATGCAGGGAAGAATTGTTGCTTCAATAGCTCTCGGATTGATTTCTATCTTGAATACGAACCGCATCCGTCATCTACAAAGAATTTGAATCATCTCTTTCAGAGTATGGTTTTGTGCTCTATATTTTGTGGCTAGCTTTGTTCCACACTCGCATTGCATATTTTATCTTCATTTTCTCAAGGAGTTTCCCAACTTACTTTCACCCCAAAAAAAAAATTAAAAAGGACGCTGAAATAGGAGAAATGGTCATTTTGTTCCAATTGGGTCACTGAACTTAAAACGTTTGTTACAATTTGATCATTTCGTTCACATCCGTCAGAATGAGACTCCCACTGCAAGGTTTTACGCATTAAGCCAGCAGCTTTCTTATCTTTCTTAGTTTGACTTGTGTAAAAACTGACATGGCGGTCCAGTTGGCAAATACTTAGACTGCTAAGTCACCCTTTCCATTAGTCAAAGTAATGGACATAGACAGAATGACCATATTGTAACAAAGTTTTTCAGTAACAAAGTTTTATCTTCTTGCACTAATGCTCTTTCACAATTTTGCTGACAGTGATTCGTAAAGGTACTTTTGCGATGTACGACTATGGATTTTGGAAAAACTTGAAGCACTATGGCCAACTGAAGCCACCAAACTTCGATCTTAGCCGAATTCCCAGTTCATTACCATTATGGATGGGGTACGGGGGGAATGATGCCTTAGCAGACGTTACAGATTTGCAGCATACCCTAAAGGAATTACAATCAAAGCCAGATTTGCTCTATCTTGATAATTATGGTCATCTAGATTTCCTTTTGAGCACGAGAGCAAAGGAAGATGTTTATGACAAGATGATTGCATTTTTCGACTCATTGGGAACGCTCAGCAGTTACTAAATTTGGATCAGGGAGGATCGGAGACTCCGTCTTGATAATATTAAGGAAGAAAAAGTTAAAATCTTGTTCACTTTGAATTGAACTTGCACATAGGGGTTATATACTTGTATATCTGTGTCTAAAATGTACGGTCGTAGTATGTTTATGATGTAAATATAATTGCATACTTTCCATGGATTACTTATTCTCAACGTCAGTACACTAGCGTTGTAAATAACTTTATAATGGTGACAGACTGCCACAAAAATTACAATTATTATTTGAAAGTTTTTAAGTTTTCCTATCTGCATTTTATTTAAGACATCAATTACATAAAATCACTTGGAAACGTTAGTTTTCTGAGAAATATTATCCATTTTTCTTAGAGGAATAGAAACTGATTCAGCATTTAATACAGATTACATACAACTATGCCAAAATATATAAATTTGCATCATTTAAATCACCAATGAATGTGATAGTGAATCAGTGCAACACTATCTCATGAATAAATATGCATTTAAACTTCATTGAAACGTGGTAATGGCATTGGTTAATCGTCAACGATACTGATGAATAGCGTTACTTGTGAGTTAAACGTACAAATATCCTAAGTTGGAATATCAATTTAAAAAATAATAATAAAAATAAAAATCAATCCCAACATTGATTTAGAAAAGTTAAGGAAATGGAAGCTGGAGGTTGAATCAGAGTTGAACCAAAATGTGGTAAAATTTAAAGAAAAACTAAGGTAAATCTCTAGCCATTTACAATTTTTTTAATCGATCGAAATAGTATTGGACCAACCCAACTAAAACCACGTTTGACAAAACCTTTTGAAATTATAGGTCGGTGGATCCATGAAATTTATGGTTATAAATAAATAGAGGTCATAAGTTAAATGAAATGTGAAGTTAAGTTGCTTCACAATGCTCACTGAACTTATTCCTTATAATACTCCAATATTTGCTAGTCACATCAGCGTATAAGGTAATATTTTTTAGGATGGTGGATGGATTTCTAACGAAAAAAAATTAGTGAGCACTATGAAACAGTTTAAAGCTTAGTAAGCACACTATGATCATGGTATAAGTTGAGTGTTTTTTGAAATATCTAAGGTGAGTTTGATTGTCAATATTTTCCATTGAGAAATGCGTTTTTCCACCTAATTTTCTACTTTTGTGCTATTTGATTGATATTTTTTTCTACGAAAAATATTTTCTAATTTTTGGTCACGTTTGCTTGAAAACAAGGAAATATATTCTTTAGTGAAATGTGGTTTTTATTTTCCAAGTAATTCACTCTCTATTTCTCTATCTTATTTATCAACTCTCTCATCTATCCACCAATAAAAAATGGATAAATATAATATTTTCTAAATTAAAAACTAAATGGATCAAACACATTTAATTAATAAATTACGGACAAATAATTTCAAGGTAATTAAATTGCCTATAATTTATTTCCCTTAACTCATCGAATGTGTGATTAAAGTAAAATTTGACTAAAAAAATTCTGCCAAACAGGGCTCAGTAAGAATAAGGTAACTGTCTCAAGTTGTGGCATATATAACCGAATATCACAAAATTTAACTGCTCTTACTGAAGTCGTTGGAGATCTTCCCGCTGGAAACACAAAAAAAAATGGTGGAGCCTTCCGCGGTTCAGGTGGCGGTGATTGTGGCGCTGTTCAGTAGCGTCCTCCTATCCTCCGCCATGAACTCCACCGAAGACTTCAACGCCTCAAACCTCCAGCGACCGGAAGCTGGGCTTTGCGCTCAACTTATCGAACCTTCTGGCTTCCCTTGCTCGGAACACAAAGTAACGTCTCTGTTTATATATTTATATTATATTTACTGGTAAAGTTCTTATGTCCATTTCGGTTTTTCAAAAGCAAATTCTTGTTAGGAATTAAAATTTATGGGTGCCATTTGTTCGTATTTAGAAGTGTTTTTCTAAATATTTAGCATTGTGATTATTTAGCATTGATTATGTGAATTAATATGACGAGGTATAATTTTTATTCACAGACACCTAATGTTCATTGACATGATTTTGATCTGCATTACATGATCATTTGCCAGTCCCATTTCATTTTTAAGCTATTTATGGTTGAATAATACTATTGTCATAAGTAATGTGTGATCAACTGTTGTAGACACTAACAAAAGATGGATTCATTCTGGGAATTCAGCGCGTGTCATCTAATTCTGGAAATTTTAGAAGGCAGAGGGGTCCTCCAGTTCTGCTTATTCATGGACTTTTTGTGGTACTTTTTTTCTCACTTCTAATTTTTTTTTTCACTCTCTCTTTCCTTTATACGGATATAATAAACTTAGAGGCAGAAAAAAGTCTCACACGTATTTATTCTTTTGGGGCATTGAAATGTTTGTATTTCTCGTCATATACTTCTCTTCTCTTCATTATTGTGATTGAACTTAATAATGCAATTTTCTTGATAAAGGGAAAGCCGAGTTTAAAGTGAACATACCATTCTGTCAGCAAATTGACATCCTTTTTTTTTTTTTATCTTGATGGAGTTTGAACTCTGTCCTAATTTATTAGATAGTATAATATATAACTTGCAATTACAGCTGTATTTCTGATTTTTGACCAACAGTGGAGGATTGCATATGTACTACAATGTTATTCGTCCATGCTAGGCACACACATTGACATTTTATTTCCCTCATAGAGGGTAAACAAGCGATTTTTCCATTTAATGGTTCTTCAACTGTGATCAGATCAATGAAATTGTGTTATAGTTCTGTGAACTCCATCTCTGACCCTTTTGTGTTGACAGTTTTCATAATCCATGATTAAACAGGCAGGTGATGCATGGTTCTTGGATACCCCAAATCAATCGCTGGGCTTTATCCTTGCCAATCGGGATTTTGATGTCTGGGTTGGTAATGTGCGTGGGACACGCTGGAGTCAAAGCCATGTATCTTTATCAGAAAAAGATAGGGTACTCCTTATGCTTTGAATGCCTTTTTCTAATAAGTTATCTTTACCATATAAAATATCATCTAGAAAATGGTTTGAAGAACAAAAAAAAAAGATAGGGGTTTATGTTTTAAAGGGCCATGGTATCTTTGGGTCAGCCTTGTCTACTACAAATTTCAGTTGTCTCCTCAATTTTTAATGATGATACATTACATATCAAATAAACCCAAATTGTATCAAATTGTATCCCAAAAGCCTCGTAGGAAGTGTCAATATTGAGTTCTTGAGGATTAAATTAAAGAGGAAAAATGGCAGCTTCACCACAGATGACCATACATCAACATCTATAGTTACACATGATTTTCATTTTCTTCTCAAGATGATTGAGTCATATTAGAAATGACAACATGAAATAATTGCATAGGTTCAGTTTATTTGAACATGTATCAACAAATGGTATTATTAAGCTTGAGATGAGGAAGATCAAGAGGAAATCTGTGCCAGAGCATGAGCAGCTATTACATTGAGTGAATTTGTTGCCTCTTAAAGCTTGCAAGACAATGACCTGATATGTCATAGACACTTTGATTATTTAATGGAACACTTCATGCGCGGGTGGTTGTTTAAATTGCCATGGTGTATATGAAACCTTCTCTTTGTATGCATTATTCTTAAGCATGTCATGTCGGCCAGTGATCTGATTTCATTTAGCCCCCTCTTTGCCTCAGGAGTTCTGGGATTGGAGTTGGCAGGAATTGGCTCTTTACGATCTGACTGAAATGATTCGTTATGTATATTCTGTTACAAACTCAAGAGTATTTATCGTTGGACATTCGCAGGTCTTGTATCTCATGATAATTTAGTTTTGTTTTATTGCGTACAGGATGATATGGTGGCTTGTGATACATCTACTTTTTTTGTAATCTTATAGGGAACAATCATTTCTCTGGCTGCCTTTACTCAACCAGATATAGTAGAAATGGTTGGAGCAGCTGCGCTTCTTTGTCCTATAACATATTTGAAACATATAACAGCTCGTTTGCCACTTAAATTAGTTAAAATGCATCTTGATCAGGTCTGATTAGCAATTTCATGTACTTTCATGACGGAAATGTTTCTTCTCTTACTGAAAATCAATTATTATTTCAGGTAATGCTTGAAATGGGCATTCATCGACTCAATTTTAAAAGGTCTTGTAGTATTCTTTTCATTTTCTTACCTTTCCTTAGTTATAGTCTGTCTTTTAGTCATAATTATATCAGCTACTGAATTACTCCTCTGATTCAGTGACTGGGGTACTCTCATCATGGATGTGATGTGCAATGGACATGTAGATTGTGAAGACTTGCTAACTTCAGTTACAGGTCCTCTAGCCAAAACTACTGGTTCCTTTTTTTATATTGCACTTAGTTGAACGACCTCATCCAAAAGCTTAAGCCCCTATTTGGTAGGGATTAAAATATAGATTTTAGTCTAAGTCAAAGTTAACAATTAATTATAACCACATATTTTATAGAACCCACAATTACTCAACCACACATTTCTTCAATTTTTATCAAAATTTACTAAAAATCTGATTTTAATCCCTACCAAACAGAGGCTAAGTTGTTAGAAATGTGATCACATATATATATAAATTTAGCCTTCAACGTGCCCTTTCATGTGGAAGCCGGATTTCATTTTTTATCAAAGGCTTACACATACACAATTTTCATAAATGTGTGATGGTGAAACTTGTACTCAAGATCTTTCTTTTTCTTTGATGCCATATTCAACCACCTTATTTAAATCGTAAGCTATTAGAGAAGGGACCAATTTATTTATTTAGATTGCGTCTTCAATTCATCTTTTGATAAATAGGTGTATGATGGATCATTTAATGGTGCTCAATCTCTTTTCTCCACAAATAATTACACCTTCTACAATAACAAAAACCTAGTTCTTACTCGCTTTTGTGACCCTTGTTGTCTTGTGAGAAAGTTGAAGTTAGAATAGAATACAAGGAAAGGAGAGAATTTGTTTTATGAGACATTGACCACTGATGATTTAAGCCTGTTTAGGATTGTTCTTCATGATGAAATATTACTTGAAGTTATGCTTTAGAAATGTCCACGTGTGTTTAGTAGTTCGTTGACAATTAGCTCCACGTGTTGGAAGTTAGAAAACGAGCTTATTCTCTTATATGAGAAAACATTCCGGTACTGTTTCAGTTTATTTGACTGGATCTCTTAAATCTTCATATTAATATTTTCTATTATTCACAAAATGTTCTCAGAAATAGCATAAACCTATATTCTAATTTTATAGAATGTGAGCTATGTCAGGCAACAGAGAACAATTCTTGAGTATGTTTTAGAAGGGCCATTTATGTTTTAATATCCTTGCTCATTTCTTTAAGATTGTAATGATTTCATGATAAAATTGGAATATTCTTTTTTGTGATAATATTAGTGTTGCATGGAATGAATTCACATGCATGTACTGAATTATACATTTCTGAATCATCACAAAAACAATTTCCACTGATCTAATCTCCCATATGTGCTACTTGTAATTCCTGTTGTCATTTCTGATTTTATCGATTGTTGTCAGGTAAAATTTTAGGCAGTGACAACATTGTTTATTAGTGGTTCAACACCCTATGCTATAAAAATATGGCTAGACAGGGTAGTCCTAACTGCTCTTGCTCTGTGTCAGGCAGTCTATCTTAACAAATATAGCCAGTTCAGCCATACTCTATAATCTGTTTGCATCGATTAAAACAATTTTGTCGACAGATAGATTGCAAGAAGGAACCTTACTTTGTTGTATTGTGATGGATGTTGCTCCAAAACAAGCTGTCTTGAAAATAATGTGGTTTGACATTTAGACCATTCACTTATCTTCGTGTTATTTGTTTCAAATGCCTTTTAGCTTAGCGGATGAGTTAATTACGTGCAGGGAAGAACTGTTGGTTCAACAGCTCTCGGATAGATTTCTATCTTGAATATGAACCTCATCCATCATCTACAAAGAACTTGAATCATCTCTTTCAGAGTATGATCGTCTATTCTATCTTTGTTCCTCATATGCATTGTGTTTTATCTTCATTTTCTGCGAACTTTCCAGAATTTACTCCCTGCCCCCTCCCTTCCCCTCCACCGCACGCCACCCCACCAAAAAAAGATAGAAGGTGAATTGGCTTAAAAATGCTAGTAGTGATTGAGCTTAATTGAAATTTTGTGTTGCTCACTAAACTTCATTTTGTCCCAGTTTGGTCACTAAACTTAAAACTTTGTAAGCATTTTGTCACTGAACTTGAATGTTGTTATAGCTTGATCCTTATATCCATGTCCATTAATGACTATAATGGAAAAGATGATGCGGCATCCTATTTGGCAAATAACTAGACTGTCAAGCCACTTTTTTGTTAATAAAAATGTATGGATGGACGGAATGATCAAATTATAGCTAAGTTTATGGATGGACGGAATGATCAAATTATAGCTAAGTTTAATTTGAACGAACGAGTCCAAGCATATTGAAGTTTATTAAGCACGTGAAAATTCGCTGAAGTTTAGTGACCATCAATGTATTTAAACCAGTGAAACAGGGTTTGGCTCAGTTTTGGCATATGTCCCACTTCCTTCTTTTATCTTCAGGCACTAATGCTAGAGTTTTGCTAAATGTACAACTAGTTTGACAATCCATAAGCTGACAAGCAGTTTGGCCATTGATCAAATCAATAGCCACGATGTTTACATCTCATGGATTGTCAAATTAGTTGCACAAAATCATTGTACAAGTAGTTTAACTCCTAATGTTATTTAGTAATTTTGCTGACAGTGATCCGAGAAGGTACTTTTGCTATGTATGACTATGGAATGTGGAAGAACTTAAAGCACTACGGCCAACTGAAGCCACCAAAATTTGATCTTAGCCGAATTCCCAGTTCTTTACCATTATGGATGGGGTACGGAGGAAACGATGCCTTAGCAGATGTTACAGATTTGCAGCATACTCTCAAGGAATTACAATCAAAGCCAGATTTGCTCTATCTTGAGAATTATGGTCATCTAGATTTCCTTCTGAGCACAAGATCAAAGGAAGATGTTTATGATAGAATGCTTGCATATTTCAACTCATTGGGAACATATAGCTACGACTGAATAATTTGCGTGTAGTGCATGTTTAGTATCGATAGTGTGAAAGAAGAAAAATAATTTAATATTCGTTATTTGTATTGTGTACTGAACATGCACGTGGTGATATGTGCCTAAATATGTACCACTATTGCCGAAGTTGGTTCAAAGTAAATTTAATTTTATCATTTGTTTTTAGCAATCATGTTAGTGTCAAAAATAATTTTCCTGTATCTAACTTTAATCGTTAAAAACAATTATTTATATTAAAACTTGCTTATTTACTTTCAAGTAATTTTTTAAAGCTTAGCCCAACATATTTGAGAAACTCTTAAATTTAAAAATATATATTTTGATGGCAACTTTTGTTTTCATTTTTGTATCTCACCAACAAGAAAATACTTTTATTCAATCAAATGGGATTTAAATAAGGCACTTTCCATATAAAAATCCACACCAATTCTGTAATTTATATCAATCTTTTTCTTCAATTCAAAAAATATTTGAAAAATATGTTGTGAATAAAACGATATCGATATTAAATATAAATTTATCAGCAGTGACATACATATTTGGAGAAATTAAATAAATATTCTAGAAAAATGATCACCCCTAACTTATTGTTCAATTCGCAAATTAGTACATAAACTCTGAAAAGGAACAAGTTGATCCTCAAACATTGCATGCAATCAATCCACTATCACCAAAATGGTTCAAATCTTTATTTAATCGTCATGTGACTCTCACTAAAATACGAATCACTTTAAAAAAAAAATTAGATACCAACCAAATACCACAAACAAAACCTAAATTCATAAAATTGAATGTGAAAAAATTGTGCGACAACTATACATATATTAAGACAATCATCGTCAAGATTGATAGTGGAATTGTAATAAAAGATAAGATTGAAACTTACTTCTCGAACACGAACAAAATAATATGCCTTTTCAAATGCATTTGTTGGGAATTTTGGCCCGACACTCACGTAGCAACAAATAGTAGGTTGAAAATTTTAAATCAAACTTTGTTGGGATTAAAATTATGAAAATGCTGTGCCCACCAACACCCACCTACTACTAGGCCCTGTTTGCTTTCTGCGAACTTCCCTTTCGCACAATTCTTTCCTTCAAAGCTATCATTTTGTCTATATATACACACAGAGAGAGAGATATAAACGCGCCATCTCTCTTATTCTCAAGATTCATTCTTTTTTGTAACTCTGCAACACATAGAGAAATTTGAAGATATGGGCAGTGTAGATGTGGAGAGAACAACAACAGGGTGGGCTGCAAAAGACCCTTCTGGGATTCTCTCACCCTATACTTACTCTCTCAGGTAATTCGATTCAAACCCTTATGCCACGTTCAGTATGAAGGATTGGACAATATTATGTCTTTTTTGGTGAGCTGACAATACAATAATCAGCAAATTTAAGGCAGAAAAAGAAGTTCAAATCTTGTTCCAACTTCCATATCCTTTCGAGTCGAGTTATGTGTAGTAGCACGTACCAAACATATTCCTGGTCATTTTTTGAGTTCACAATGGATTTTTGTAATTAATTTTCGCTTTTTTTTTGTTTGGGAAATGTATAAACAGAAACACAGGCCCTGAAGATGTTTATGTGAAGGTGATAAGCTGTGGGATTTGCCATACTGATATTCATCAAGTCAAGAATGATCTTGGCATGTCCAATTACCCCATGGTTCCTGGGTATTATACTTTATTATCCCTCTCATAGCATATATATATATTTTTTAATCATTTGCTCCCTATTGTTTGGCCATGTGAAGGTCATCGCGGTAAAGGAAGAGGGTCGAGGTAGATTGACTGGCAGCATAAATTTTTTGCGTATCTTATGACAATTCGTTTGGTGTTCCATTTTAGCTACTCGATAGGAATCAAATGAATTTGCGAAAAATAATTCACGTAGCCGACCGCTAGAGAGTCCAACTGATCCACCTTTTGACAATACCAAACATGTTATTTTGGATTTAGTCATATTATTGTTGGGACAAATTACTTGATGCCTGTATGACTTTAGTGTTCAATAATTCATGGGTCACAATCCTTAAATGGAATTATTAACTTTATGACTTTATTACTATCCATAAATCTCTAACCATTGATGATATTTATGAACAGGCATTCATGGTAGATACGATAATGATGAGACAATTACATATTCCTACCTTAATTTTTGATGTGGGTCTATTGCATGTTTTGTAGAGAGGATTGAAGAATCTTGTTCGTTAATTTCCGGTATTGAATACCAAACACGCACTTAATGTTTTGTGCTGAATCCTTGCCCCTATTTTTGAGCTGCTGTATAGGCATGAAGTAGTAGGTGAGGTAATGGAGGTAGGATCAGATGTAACCAAGTTCAGATCCGGGGAGGTCGTTGGAGTCGGTTGTCTGGTTGGATGCTGCGGGAACTGCCACCCCTGCAAATCGGAAATCGAGCAGTACTGCAACAAGAAGATTTGGTCGTACAACGATGTCTACACGGATGGCAATCCCACACAAGGAGGATTTGCCGGCGCCATGGTTGTTAATCAAAAGTAAGAATCAACACGACCTAGTCATACTTCTTGATCTTAACTAACCAATATTCGAATAGGATTTTTTGGGCTCAAGTTAGTTTGATATGACAAGAACTCGGGTTTCTCTTTAAGTATCCCCTCATGTCGTATTATCTAGTACGCATATCATAAATCGAAGAATTTTTCTGAACTTTCTTGAATTGATCTTTTTTTGTACTACTTTCTCAGGTTTGTTGTGAAGATTCCTGATGGTATGGCACCAGAACAGGTAGCGCCTCTACTCTGCGCCGGGGTGACGGTGTACAGCCCCCTGCACCATTTCGGCCTCAAACAGAGTGGCCTAAGAGGTGGGATTTTGGGGCTCGGAGGGGTCGGTCACATGGGAGTGAAGATAGCAAAAGCCATGGGACATCATGTCACCGTGATCAGTTCTTCGGACAAGAAGAAAGTGGAAGCATTGGAAGATCTTGGTGCAGACGAATACCTCGTTAGCTCCGATTCCAGTCGAACGCAAGAGGTTGTCGACTCGTTAGATTACATCATCGACACGATTCCAGTTTTTCATCCTCTCGAGCCTTACCTTTCTTTGTTGAAAGTCGATGGAAAGTTAATCTTAATGGGCGTTATTAATACTCCACTGCAGTTCATCACCCCCATGGTTATGCTTGGTGAGTTTCGAATTTTTCATCTATTGTTTCTCCATTAGAACAGCTCCATTTCTCCTTAATGCTCGTGGGCAGCTTACGAGTATCCAAAATGTTTGATTACGTTAATGAACGCAGGGAGGAAGACGATCACAGGAAGCTTTATCGGAAGCATCAAGGAGACAGAGGAAATGCTAGAATTCTGCAAGGAGAAGGGCGTTACTTCAACTATTGAAGTGGTTAAATTAGACTACATAAACACTGCGTTCGAGAGGTTGGAAAAGAACGACGTTAGGTACAGATTTGTCGTCGATGTTGCTGACAGCAAACTTGATCAATGAAAACACAGAATCAAACCGAAAGAGACTAATAATTTCCTGGAAAAAGACGAGCATTACGCATTCAAGCTCTATTTTTCTTATGACTTCTATGTACACCAAGCGAACTGGGAGCGGTATGTTCTGTTTTCCCTTCCTAGACGAGGAAATCTGGCTTTTGTTTACTTTCTTGGACAATGTAATCAATACTTTGAAGCTGTTGACTTGTTCTCTTTCAATTAAATCTAGCGGAGAATGTCCAAATGATTACAAGTAAAAAATTTAACGACGTGGAACTAGTCGAGCCAGGATTTTCATGTAGAGAGCAAAAAAGTATTGAAGGGTCAAAATATATATATATATATTATATACATATTAAAAAAAATCAAAATTTCTACATAATTTTCTTCAAAAAAAATAAAAAGTTGCGGGGTGACCTCGACCCCCGGCCTCCTGTGACTGCTACTGGTGGGACATGGTTAAGAGTTGTTACATGTCTGATGTCACTGATAGCTTTCAAAATGTTCTTCAAATCGAATAAATACAAAATTATAGATCCACATATAATAATTTATGTTACTTAAAAATGTTGACCGTTTAAAATGAAATCACAAGTATTAACATGATATCAGAGTCTATTAAGCTCAAACTAACAATTCGATCTGATCAAGACTCAAAAAGTGAGCACGCAAATTTCAAGATTGGTCTGCTCAAACGAGCCAACATTTTACGTATAAGGATTTGAGTTGCTACTCTTAAACAGGTTGACTTTTAAGATGAAATTCCAAGTCTTAGACACAAAACAATGTTCACGGTGATCCAAATTTTCGATTTGAGTGATTTCACAAGGCTAGTCTTCTAAGTCTGGATTTTGTGAATGTGAGCCAGATAAAAGCGAAGAGAGCAAAATCAGCTAGGGTTTCATACATACAATCAAAATGAGCAAAATTATGTAAAAGTATGCAGGAGGTTTAATAGTCTAATAAGTAAAATGGCTAAATTATCCTAACCAAACAAGTAAACTATGATTCTACCCTTATAGTAATAAAAAATAATATAAATACAAATAATATAACTATTTAAGCTACCACTACGTGGCCTCATTGGCAGCTAGACTCTTTCTTGAAGAGTGTCCGCTATATATAAATTGATGGGGTTTGATAACGAAAGATACCAAACATGAAATGATGCAAGGTAAGTCTTAATCTTTGACTCAGATCAGTTTTATGGTAGGTGTGATTTGGAAATTTTCTCTAATCTCAAGAAACATGGTAGCACACGGCTGTTAATCTGCATGCATTTCATATTCGACTCAATAAATTTTAAGATGTCAGCAACTATACATCGCTATCATTTCAATAGCAGCAGCATTTCACTAATATTCATCACAAGCAGATGACAGAAATAAGAAGCAAAATCAATATGTAACAATTTCACTAATCTAATTTCTCAATAGGCAAGACTAACTCGTTGTCGGTCAGCGAAAGGCCTCACAGACAGACTGAATCTCGCCTGGCTCACTCTGGTCTTCTTCCTTGTACAACAGAAGCCTGCTAGCTGCATCTATAGCAATCGACTAAAGTACATGTTCATAAAGTATCTTGATGGGTTGAAGCCGCTCAAAATCACTGCAAGAAAGAAATAAGATGTTTCTACATGGCAATGATAGACATTGTATAACACACGTGTGGTGAAATACTTACAGATAGGAGATAGAACAATGGCAACACCAATTGGATACAGAAAAAAAGTGGTTCTCTCCAAAAATGGCAATACTGCATGACAGACGAGATTATCAGTAAATTTTGACAATAAAAGTTTTCTTCTGAACACGAGCCCCTTTCTCGCATCCTTCTCAATTTTCTGTGAATATAGGTCTTTAGAATATCATTGAATAAAACTTTTTCCAGTAAAACTCATCTTACCATCATAGCCTAGAAAATTGAGGTAATGATAGTAGGAAATGGCTGCCATGAAGAGCAGATTCGATAGCAAAACAGGAACAAAACCATGAGCTACCAGAAGAGGGGACAGAAAATAATGTACAACTGTTTCGAAGAAAAACGCGTGAATAGAAGTTTAGTGTATGTTTAAATTAAAAAATAAAAACTATAAAATAAGGACTGCATTTTAACGATATACTAACCATAAAGAAGCACAAACATGGGGAAGAAAGAATTGCAGTGTACATCAAAAGCATACAACCTTCACAGAGTTAGGGATGAAAAATGAGTTAGCAAAGAAACCCCAGTTCTGTAAGGCAACTAATACCTATTTAGATAAGCAGCTGCATCAACCATCTTACCATTCTACCCGTTGCTCCACCACGTGACTGTCTGGGACTTCTTCTCGTAGATAATTGTTAGTAACGAACCTGCATGAAATTCACCAAATAAATTTTCCATTATGCAACCTTGTCCTCCATAAAATTGCTAAAAATATTTCTCGAGTCATCGAGTGATACTCAACTTAATCCCATATAAATACAAAAATATTGTTTTTAAATCCTAGTGATCAGTGAGATGGTCATCTCTCATTTCAATAAGATAAACATCTAAAATGGACTCTAATACCACATTAACAAATTTAGAACACTGGCCTAGAGAAGAATACTGGCATGTAGGCCAGATTGAAATAATACCTAAGACTTTGAATGTTAAAGACTTTGCCATCATAAGGTAAAGATCCTTACCAACAAAATGCTGCCACAAGTGCCCCTGCTAAGAAGAAGTGGAAAAGCAATACTGAAATAACCACAAAAGCAGCATGTCCAGCACTGTGATCATAGCTGAAACAAAGGCAGATAGCAAAATACAGAGGGGATAAGTATCAGCGTACAAGATAACTAATAGGAGACAATGAAAATTTGGACAATTTAGATATAAAACACCACAGAAACTTGGCTTCAAATGGAGAAAAGAATTTGCCCATCATGAAAAGCAAATATATCTCTTAATATAAACCATCCAAATCTGCATAAAGAGATTTCTACAAGTTCTGTCAAATCAAACCACGCAAATAAGCAGTAAAATGAATTAAAAGACACTTACGCGGCACAATAAGCTATTGTAGATATTGTTAAAAGAAGACTGCATACTACAACAAATGCAGGGTCATCACGTGCCCATTGGTTCTTCGTTTCTGCAATCAAAATGTTACTAAACAGCTAGAACCAAAACGATACTAGTTAAATCTAGCAAATTACATGTTCCATGTCTTAGATTTACATTCAGAATCAGAGCAAAATAACCATCAAAATATTCTAAAAGAAGTAAAAAAGGAAGGATGAAATTAGCACAAAGAAAACTACGTCAATCATGCACTAACTAGAAAAGCAAATGACAAATATCAATTGACATAACATTGAAATCCTTCATCAGCAGCAAAAGCATCAAACGGTAAAGAGGACAGGTTCATCTACGCGCATAGTCATGCTATACTGCAGTTGTATTGACAAATGGCAAATACACAAACTAGCCTAGCAACTGATGTCTCGTGAAGTTTGAAAAGGAAACATGAGATGCATTCATCCCTGAGATGAGAGTGCAAGCATAAGTCGGGACTGATAAGCATACTTGGTTTGGTCACAGGGAAAAGAAACTACTGGCTCCAACAGATTTCATATGACCCTATGTGTGTGGATATCTTGAGCAAACATTATAGAATAAAATTTATTTCACATTCACTTAGTTAACTTTTAAGTTAAATTCTACACGAAAGGTAGATACGTTTAGTAATTTAAATCTATTTAAAAGGCGCAAAGGTGCATATTACATTTACACTAAGAAAGCAAAAAACTCTCAACAGCCTCATGGAATAGAACCTGTACCTGAAACAATTAAAGCATTTAATAAAGAGATCATACAGAACCAGAATCCTATACCATAACTGGACTTTCTCCACTTGAAAGAAAGCTGTTGCATGCATTTGATTAAGGACTGAAGATAAAATTTAAAGGATAGCCACAAGGGCTACCTTATCAGCCACCTCTCGATTTCAAGAGAGATGGACCACATTCTATCTAAAGTTATTCTGGATGTCAATGATACAAAGGCCAAAACTGGAGCATAATTTGATCGAGCAAATTTTGAAATTTTGACAAACTACATTGTTTTCAGCTGTGCTCATATATTGCAATTGCAAGATCAAGAACTTCACAACATAGGTCAAATTAACGGAACTATGACATGCTATAGAACAATATTTCTTTAGTCATAAAAAGGTTTTGTATAGTTAACATTTATTTGTACCATATCAATTTATAGGATTTATTCAGAAAATCTATATTTTATCATATTAGACTTGCAATGATTCTCTGAGACATAAATATTTGACACAATGATATAACAAAAATGCATGGTTGGTGAATTTGATCAAGGACAACATAAAATTTTGGCAGAAGGGAAGGATCAATCTAAGCAAATAGCTGGAGCAAAAGAGATAAAAGAAGCAGACTTACGCTTGTGGTATTTGGTGTGTTGATATCTGCATCCGTTGTAAATATTTGCATGCAACATAGAGAAAAAAACATAATCAAAAACTCAATAATACAACCAACTTACTTTTTCCAGAACCAAAATTTTTCATTCACATCCCAGAATTAGTTCTGTTTCAAGCAACATAACTTTTGTCATCAAACTTTTAGTACATAGTACACCACAACATATCATTAGAATAATATAAAAGTAGTTAGGGCCAAGAGGAAATTAATCATGGACCAACTTATTCATTATAATACATATCAGCTTAAAAAATATAAATATAGCATTAAAAGAGTCTCAATCTTTCTTGAGTGTAGATTATTTAGTCCATAACTTATAACCAGCTCAAATAATGTATGCCAAATACAGCAAATAGCCCTTTCCTACATTGTACTGTAACATTACAGGGGCAGGAGAAGAAATATTGTTGGTTAAGCGAAAACAATTAGTTAATGAGAGAAGTATGAAATCAATATGAATCTGCTCAGTAAGACTCAAAAAATTTTACTAAATGCTCTCTTATGCGAAAAACTTTGTTTCTTAGATGATAACAACACAAAGCAAAACATGCCTCCAAAAAATGGTAATGTGAGTCTAAAAGGCCTTTAAAAAGCTTAAAATGATGGCACAATGTTATAACTATAAATTTTAAATTATCAATAACTTGTTTGTTCTATAACCTTATATGAGGAGCAAAACATGAGGTGTGCAAGGGAAATAGTTTATTCAATTGCACGTCATCTCTCACTATTGGATATCACTGAACTGCCCTAATAATGCATGCAGACAATATTGGAAGTACCATGCAAACCATCACACATTTTATAGGTAATACTTGACATTTTTAATTCAAATTTCAGCTCCTTCAAATCCAGTATTCGTTTTACAAATATTTCAATCTTCCGTGTGTATCCCATAATGTTTTCACAGGATAAAATATTAAACAACTGGCTTAAATTCAAACAATTAAATAGGATCAATGTCATGTAGGAACAAGGTCCATGGGTTCAGAAGTGCCAAATACTACTTCACTAGTATCAAAATATCTCGATCAGACTCACAATATAGCAACCATTATAAGGCTTGAGAAGCTTATCAGAATTAAATTTTAAAAGCTACCACATAGCAGTTGTAATTATTTAGATAACTAAAACTGCCCATAGAGCCTGGACACATATAACTAAAACTGCCCATAGAGCCTGGACACATACACTATTTTTGGAGATGTGCAAAGGAGAAGCATTTGCCAGAAAGTATATTCAATGTCCATTTGTTGCCACTGCAATGAACCATAAAAAATGGATATCACTCGAGGAAAATTAAGATAATAGAAGGAACTGTATAAACACACAATGAAAAAACCATTGAACAGCTCATAAAAGCATAAGTAGAAGCTCTTGAACATTCTTCTGCAAGTTCATAATTGACCAACATACAACTAACCAGATTAGCAAAGGTTACAAATCTACAACATGTTCAACAGCTCAATTCTCCCCTATGGTACCACATAAAACATTAATGTATACTAGGTTGCAGAACAGGGTGAACCCACTTTTTGATTAGCAGAATTGAAGTGCATCAAAGTAAGCACTTTGTTCATTGAAATATACAGCTCACCTCTAAAACGGAAAACAAACAGAATGTAGTTCAATTTACCCAAATTTATCCACCCAAAATATTGCTTAGACTCTAGCAAAAAAAAATCACACTTCCCATTTGTAATAGTAATTTTTTTGGATAACGTGTAGTTAGAAGTAGGGAAAAAGGAAAAAGGTTTGGATTTAAGTGCAAAATTTTTTTATTGAGAGAATGTGTGGATGAAAATGACTTTGAAGAAAAATGATTTTTAACATTCCCAGTATTTAACATTTCAAATCCCTGAGATTAAAAAACAAAAATTGACATTATAGAATTGAAGTGCATCAAAGTGAGCACTTTGTTCATTGAAATATACAGCTCACCTCTCATTATTCAGCTAAAAGGGCAAACAAACAGAATATAGTTCAATTTACCCAAATTTATCCACCCAGAATAATGCTTAGACTCTAGAAAAAAAATTCACGCTTCACACTTGTAATAGTATTTTTTTTTTTTTTGGAGAATGTGTGGTTAGAAGTAGAGAAAAATGTTTGGATTTTGGTGCAAAATTATTCTGCGGATGAAAATGAATTTGAAGAAAAATGATTTTTAACATTCCCAGTATTTAACATTTCAAATCCCTGAGATTAAAAAACAAAAATTGACATAATAAAATAAGCTTTCATCATTTATCCCCCTTCCTACCGAACCAATTCCCCATCCTTCACCATAAACAAGCCCAATAACCACAATACTTAACCGGGCTATAATTCCTCATTCACCCCCAAATGCATGATATGAATCGTGCTGTTTAAGTGTAATTAGATTCGAATCCTAAAAATTTAGCTAAATAATTTACTTTCAAGATCAAGATCAGATCTATACTCCTCCAGCAAAATTAAAATAAACACGATTAACGTCTTTACATTTATAGCGGGAAATCATGTGTGCAATAGGTGGACGAAGAGGAACCTTGACTATTTTGCGGATATACTGAGGGAGGAAAGTGTTGGGTCGGGCCGCATGAGAACCCGATCGGGCTTTTGTTGATGATGAAGTTGGCAGCATCTGTAATTCTTCTTTCTTCTTCTTCTTCTGTGATTAATTAATATTTTTCTTCTGAATTATTCGAAGGTCTCAATTTCACAATTTCAGGCTTCCCTTTTCTGTAATCTTCTCCCGGTTCCCTCCTATTTTCCTGCGATTTTCTTGTAATCTTTGATATTTGATTCGAAGAAGGTAGGCCGTAGGCAGAAACCGGGTCGCTTCTTTGTTGGGCTGGGTTGACAAATTTGATTCGGATTATGAAAAAATATTTGGTAAAAAAGAAGAGGAAATTACACATACTTCTATTTTTAAAGTTTACACTTCATTAATCAGATTTTAAGTTTATTTTTTCATAAATCAAGTTATAATTAAAATAATCTACATATTCGCCTAACACAACCCCACCCACCCATCTCAATTTTAATCTCCATCACTTGTTTCTCTCTCGCTCTCAATACTCTCACGACGATCTTCTTCGACGATTTCTCTGATTAGGTGGTGAAGGTGACTGGACAGGTGGTGGTGGGGAGAAAATTGGTGGCGGGGTAAGTAGATAGGTGGTGTCTGTGGTTTTGGTGTTGAGTTGGGCGACGAAAATGGAACTGGCACAGCCTTGTTAGTGTTAGTTTTGGTCATGATGACTATTCCGCTTAGGTGGTGGAGGTGATTGGACAGTGGTGGTGGGGTGAGTAGATCGGTTGTGCTTGTGGTTTTGGTATCGGATATGGCGGCAGCGATAGCGGTGAGGATGGTGGTGGTAGGGTCTCCAGGGACCTTGGCGATGGGGAGACATTTTGCTGGTTATTGGTGCTGTTGTGATGTTTGTGCAGTGATGTGTCGCGGGGGTGGGGGTACAGGTTATGACAGTGGTGTTACAGGTGGTGGTGGATCTAGTTGTGGTGGTGGGGTGTTGGTTTTGATTTTTGTTGTTGGAGTGGTGGTGATTTCCATATTTTGGTGGTGTTGGGAG